GAGTTGAGTGGATTGCCTGAGCCCGCAGGTTCGAGACCCGCCTGGGTAGGCGAGACCTCATCTCTACAATAAATCAAAAACCTAGCTGGGCGTGGTAGCACGCGCCTGTAATTCCGGCTACTCGGAAGGCTAAGGCAGAAGGCTCGCTGGAGCCCAGCAGGTCAAGGCTGCGGTGGCTGGGAGAGGCCACTGCACTCCAGTCTGGGTGACAGAGTGAGACTCCAACTCAAAAAAACCAAAACCAAAACAAACAAAAAATTAAAAATATATATATTATGCCTGATTTTAAAAATTAGCAAGAATTCCTTAGTATCATCAACTACCCAGAAATTATTCAAAATTTCTATTGCCTTGTATTTTTTATTTCTTTCATATTTTTTTGGCTTATTTGACTTGCGGTCCAGTTATGGTCTTGTGATTGGTTGATATGTCAGTTAAGTCTCCTAATCTGCGTGTCCCTCTTTTTTCCACTGCAATTTATTTGTTGAAGAATGGATCTTATTTTTATTGCATCTACTTAAAACATTTCTGTTTCACCTTCCCCCAGCAGGGCATCTTGAATACATGTCATATGTATTTGTAAAAGGCCTCTCTCCATGTCCCCAGGAGCCAATTTCAAAACCTCTCCCGGCCCACTCTCTATTTTCAGGTGCTTGACCGGTGCATAGAGAATGGCATCTCTTGGCTCAGGGCGGCCTGTCCTTCAGGGGAGTGAGCCCGGGTTCCTTCCCTGCACTCTGTCTGCCTCTGGAAGCGGCGGCTCACCTTTCCTTCCAAGGGCTGCCACCAGCCCCTGTCCCCTCTTGTGGGATCTGGAAGCTGCACTGGCCAGCCTTATGAGCACAGCCTTGCTGTATGCACTGGGACTCTGGTGCCGGGAGCACCTAGGACAACTGTCGTGTCGTCATCGTCATCCTCCTCGGTGCCTCCTCACCCTCCCGCCTGCAGGTTTAGGGGCTGGGAATAGGGTGGAGTAGCCGTGACCACACTACCCTGGTGCGGGAGCACATCAGTCGACACTGTTTGCCTTCAAACTAGTTATTAAGTTGTCCTGTGGGACAATTAGTCTAGAGGAGCCAAAGGAATGTGCAGGGGCACCGGGTTTCTGTTTGGAGAGAGGCTTTCAGTAAACAGAGTTCGCATTCCTACAGATTCTGTGGGACTAGAGTAAACATCATTGTGCCACAGCCGGGACTTGGGCAATCTGTGGCCCGCTCCCGCTGTGTCCCACTGCTCCCTTTGTCTTTGCTAATGGCCTTCAAGCTGTCCTGGGCAGGTTCTCCCCAGACCAAGGCTCCCTAACTCTGCAAAGCAGCCTGGCCAGAGACTGGCAGCAGGCGGTGCCTTGTGCTTTCAGGTATAGCAGGGTTTTGTTCCCATCCCTGCTTTCTCCCTCCGTCACTGGCATGCAACCCAGAGTGAATCAACTCTTGGAACAGTGGGGATCATTTTGCCAACTACTCACAGTGTGTACGTCTGGAATAAAGTACTGTTTTATTTCAGGATCCAAAGGCATAATGGGAAAAGCTTCACATTTGTGGTTATTATCGAATTGCCTGGTGGCCCCTGGCAGTTTTATCTTCTCTTGTGGGGGCAGTGGCCTGTCCCCTTGGCCTGGACATGAAGGGCTGCAGTGACCCCTCCTGGCCAGCAGAGGTAGTTGCCAGCAGCGGGACTGGCTGACCAGTGCGGCCTCCTGTGCTACAGCCCCAAAGGGGTTGGATCCCCTGGGCCTGGAAGGGAGGATTTGAGGGATGTTTTTCTTTCTCCCTCTGGTAGCCCCCTTGGGCCCTAGGATTGTTGGGAATTACTACCTTCAGAATTTGGACTTCCCAGGCTTCCTCTTCACCCATGGTTTGGGTGAGTGTACTTGAAAAATAGTTTTTGCAAAACTCAAGGGCAGGCTGAACTTGGGACGATGTTCCTGGAGGGTTTCCTTTACTTTGCTTTTGAGCCTAAGAAAAGCCGAGGGCCATTTCATGGTCCCCTGGATCTATCTTTTCTGGAGTTTGCAGGCTCTACCAGTTGCCTCCTCTCATCCCCCCCCGCCACTTTCTGGTTAATCGTCTTCCCTCGTGTCTGCATCCTGCCCACTTAGCCAGCCTCGAGTGGCAGCCTGGCCACTGTACTGGAATGTCCTGCATCAGCATGGCCACCAAGAGTCCCACAAGTCTGGTCTTCAATCCAACTGCAGATGGAACAGGGGAGCCCAAGGTCTAGGCCAGGTCTCTCGGGGCAGCCAGTCCCACCTGCAGCCACCTGTTTCCCCTGAGGCAGGTACCCATGGAGTGGGGAGGGGCTGCTGCTACCTCCCTCTTCCTGCTGACTGGTGAGCAGGCACCCACCAGCCAGCTTAGGCATGGGTTGCAGTGCTGGCAGCCTGCCTTTCTTCACGGGGCACAACTGTTTCCCGGTGCCCCCTTTCTAGACGGGTTGGGAGTGGTTTTTTATGCATGATTGTTCTGTAGGTGCCTGTAACACAGAGAGGCTGCAGGGCTTGTCTAAAGGAACTGGGAGCTTGGCCTTCCTCATGCCAGGATCACGGCTCACTGTGGAGAAGCATCACTGGCCCTTGGTCACAAGGGGTGGCAACTGCCACTGAGCAGCCACAGTCACTGCCCCGAGGCTTGTCCAGCCACTCGCACCCATCTCACGGCTCCAAGACCCTCTCTCAGTGCTCCCAGCCTGCAAGGGAGGCAGGAAGGGAGAACTGATGGCAGGGTAGGGGAGTGGACAGAAGAAAATGCAGATGCTGCCGCAAAGGAGCTGGAAGTAAGAAACCTGGGAGCTCCCAGGACACTGCTCGTGCCTGAGGTGGCCTGAGTGCCCGGTAGTTTCAGAAAGTGTGGGCCGTTGGCTGGGACACACTGCAGATGCTGGAGGCGGGACTTGAGGTGCATTACCATCATTGCCAAAAGGCCCTCTTGTCCTTTAGGAAAGGGAATAAAGCCTGACGAGACACTGGGGGCTGCGGCTCCCGTTTATGAGGGAACACCCTGACCCCTCAGTGGTGGGTCATGTGTGTCGCGTCAACTGAAGGCTGCACCTGCCTGCCCTAACCCCACGGGCTGTGGTGCTGGAAACAAACCCAGCTGACGCCTCCCTAAGTTAGGATTTGGGGCTTGGATCCTGGGATGCTTGCCCCTGCTGCTGAGAATCGGGGCTTCACCCTGAAGTCTGTGCCAGGCCCCACTGGCATCAGGCACAGAGCTGAAGGCCGACTCAAGTGAATCCAGTGGGCACAGCTAAGTGACTCCAGTTGTTTTAATGCACATCACCTCTTCCACGCTAACCTTACCCTCTGGCTAGCCCAGATGTACTTGACTACGGAGCACCTTGATTATTTAAGAGAATAAAGAAGCAGCCACCGGGTCCTGTAAAAGATAAGCAGTGACGGCAGGCTGAGTTTCTCACTGCCGGCTCCCAGTTGCAGCTGGCCCCTGGCCTGGCCGGGGCGTGCGCTAAATCTGCAGGAGCAGGGCCACAGCCGCCAGGATCCACTTCGCTGCCTTCTCTTTGGTCTTCAGGTTGAAGGTCCAGACGTAGGTGGGGCCACGCACGCGCGTTTTGTACACGGGACACTCGTATGTGTTCTTGGTCTCCGTGCGGTCCACAGGGATGGCCCTGATGAAGATGACGGGCATGGCCGGCGTCAGCTCCTTCAGCCGTGCTTCGGCGATGACTCCGCTCTGTGCGTCCCAGCGAGCGCCTGTGGGGACAACACGGCTGAGACCGGCAGCCCCTGGAGGCGACCGGGTCCTATCTGGCGTGCTGCCAGGAAGTGAGGGGCGGGCCCGGAAGGGGGGCCCGGCCCCACGCCTCCCGCCTTTCGCAGAGAAGGGCTTGTGCCCCGGGATCCCTGACTGGGCTCTGCCCCACAGAGAGTTCAGGCGGGTGTCAGGGCCGTCCTGGCACAGTGTTGTGAGCAGAGCCTTTGCAGGCGATGATGTGCATGTTGCAGCCGCCCCCTGTGTCGCGCTGTGCACTGGGGAGCAGCTCAGCGAAAACTGTTGGGTTCCATCTGTTCCAGTCTGCGCTGTTTTCAGAGCCTCATCTGCCAGCCTTCTTAATGTCAGTGGCAGGAAACCATAGCTCCAGCCGAAAATTGCAGATTAAAGTTCCCTGACCCTCTTCGTGTGTAGCATTTGTCTGTGTGTACATATATAGTATAAATAATTATACATAGATGCATATATAAATATTATTTGCCTTTAACCAGACTGCAATTATTTCTACTCATCCTCTTTAATGGTGTTTATATTTCCTGTAATTCCAAAATAAACATGGAGAATGGCTACTGCGGTCCTTTTCTTTGATGTGGGAAATGGGGTGCCTGAACCTTTGCTGGTCTGGTCCTGGCACCAGGAAAGGGGTGGCATCAGTCGTTGAGGGAGACAGGTTTGTGGTGGTGTCTGAGGGTGTGGCCTGCCTCCCTGTCCTGTCTAGCCGCCTCTGGGTAACAGGACAGGAGAGATGGGGTGAATTCTAATGGGCACCCTGGTCTCTCTTCCCTCCTGTGGGGGCCTGACCACACGGATGGCTCATGCTGGGCTCCAGAGGACAGAGGGGCAGCCAGGGCTCTCTTGGCTTGGGGGGGTGGATGGGACTTGGACAGGTGCACGGGGCAGGAGCCTTGACTCCCCACAGAATGCACGTCTCTCCTGGGCTCCCTGCTCCAAAGTGAGAGGGGCCGAGCTCAGCGCCTCTAAACAGGCCTAGGCCGTCCTCACACAAGCACTACTGTTTTCACCAAAGCAGAGTCCAGGCCAGCTGATGGGGGTCGGGTTTTGGTCTCCACCAGACCCTGCATATTCCCAGAATCCTCTCAGCCCTCTAGTGGTTTGTGTGGCTCCCAAGCCACAAGCCCAGGTACCCCTCTGAGAGCGCCTCTCTCCCGCCTGCTGAGCCGGGCTGGCTCCACAAGCTTCCGCAGACGGACCGGCGCGTATTACCTTCCATGAAGAGCCCGTACACGTAGGCGCCCTCTCGAGGAGGAGCAGTCATGTCCTCTCGGTTTTTCTTGGTCACTTCCACAGACAGACACATCTTGTCCAGGGGCCACTCGTTCTTCCTGGCCATGGACTGCATGATGGCTGTGAGAAACGACTGGGGGTTGAAGAACCCAGCCAGCCACACGGTGGTGGGCAGGGCGAAGTCCGTCGTCCAGGCCTCGAGCTCCTGGAAGGAAACGAGTCCTGAGAGGAGGCGTCAGGGGTTGATGGGAAACTTGATGCTACACATGAAGAGGGTCAGAGAACTTTAATCTGCTGTCCTGAGCAGGGGTAATGGCTGGTCCTTTCACATGCCTCTCAGTGGATGGCTGGGAGTGCCTGACCAAGCATGTTCAATGAAGCCTAGCCGCCTGCCTGTGACATGGCTTTGCTGGCTGGGTCCATTTTACTATTTTTTATTTTTTTTGAGTTGGAGTCTCACTCTGTTGCCCAGGCTGGAGTGCAGTGGCATGCTCATGGCCACCACAGCCTCGACCTGCTGGGCTCAGATGATCCTTCTGTCTCAGCCTTCCAAGTAGCTGGAACTACAGGCGCGTGCCACCATGCCTGGCTAATTTTTTTGGTTTATTGTCGAGACGAGGTCTCACTAAGTTGCCCAGGCCGGTTTCGAAACCCTGGACTCGGGTAATTCTCTCGCCTCAGCCTCCCAAAGTGCTGGGATTACAGGCTTAAGCCACCACGCCCGGCTGACTGGGTCCGTTTTAAATGAGGGAACGGGAAGAGAAGGGCCAAGAAGGGAAGGGTGTCGTGTTTGATGTTAATTTAGGAGCCCCAGAGAAGCTTTTGCCCTCATCACCTCACTCCCTGTGGAGGGCGGCTTGCCCTGAAGGTTTTGCTTAAGGAAGAGCCGACGGGAGCTGCTCTCACTGCAGACTGGTCTGTTTTCCCTCCCTTAGGAGGAAATGCCTACATTGTCAGGGCGTCTGCGTGGCACAAACCAGGCCCTTCCAGCCTGCTCTGACAGTCCAGGCCAGCAGGAGTCGCCAAGGCTCCGCAACCAGGCCCCTGTGGGCTCTGGGGTACAGGGCATGCTGCACCCTGGGTGTCTGGGTCCCCAAAGCTGAAGTCAGGCGGCAGCTCCCAGAGAAGACTGTGCTTACCCTGATGCGGAGTAGCAGGTCGGCATACCAGGCCGCCAGGCCCATCATGGAGGGGTAGGCTCGGGCCATCCACGTGTCCGGCACGGTGTCGTAAAAGAGAGCCGTAGACAGGTCTTCCATGTCGGTCGTGATGGTCAGTTCCCCCTGAGGGACACACAGAGGTGCGGGGGCGCCCAGACTGCCTTGTTTTGCCTGCTCTCGGGAGGGCGGGAGAGCGATGTGTGTGTTCTCTACACTGTGTGGCTTTGTGTGGTGCTTCTAGAGACGCCCTTGGTCAGGGCCATGCCAGTGTCTTCTCCCGTGGCTCGCGCTGGAGCACCCAGAACGCCACCCCAGGGAGTGAAGGAGGAGCAAGAGTGTACTAATCCCAGAGCCCGGGCTGCCAGGGACCTGGGGTTTATTGCTGGTTTTGCCATCCAGTCATGTCCCTGAGGTCCTGGGGGAACCTGATTATTATTATTATTATTTTTTACCTTCAGCCCCAGATTCAGCTCCTTGAGTGAACGGCGCATCTCGTTGGTCAGGATGTTCATTCTTTCACATTCTTGAAAGGCGACCACCACGTAGGGGGTCTTATCAGCTGCCTTTGCCATGATCTCAGCCATGTTGAACATCTCAGGAATCTTCTCCAGGATGTCGTCCAGCACGGCCTTCACCTGCAAGTCAGTTCCCAGCCAGCCCCTGTCACTGCATGTTTTTGTTTTGTTTTGTTTTGTTTTGAGTTGGGGTCTCGCTCTGTTGCCCAGGCTGGAGTGCAGCGGCACGCTCACGGCCACCGCAGCCTCGGCCTGCTGGGCTCAGGCGATCCTTCTGCCTCAGCCTTCCAAGTAACTGGAACTATAGGTGTGTGCCACCATGCCTGGCTAATTTTTTGATTTATTGTAGAGACATGGTGTCTCATCAAGTTGCCCGGGCTGGTCTCAAATCCCTGGACTCAGGTAATCCTCTCACCTCTGCTTCCCAAAGTGCTGGGATTACAGATGTGGGCCACTGCACCTAACCCGTCACTATATCTTTACCAAAGCAGGGAGGGCCAGGGAGTCCACCCAGGATGTTCCCAGACCTGAGTCCTGGAGGGATGGGAAGAGGCAAGCAGAGGTGCCAGAAATACAGGGCCATGGGGGACAGCCACACATCTGACAAGGGCAAGGGTGCCTTGGCCAGCAAGTTTGGAATGTTCCGGTCCCACGAGCAAGGTCATACAGCTGTGGCCTTAGGAACATCGGAGCACCCAGTCAGTGCCTCCAGACATTACCCAGGCACGGGCTCCCTTCCCTGTCAGAGTCACCCAGTGATTGTGGGACTGTAACTTGTTTGTCTGGGCTTTCTGTAGGGATCATACTAGCCACACCCTCTCAAGGAGTGGGTCACCTGCACCACCATGCATCAGTCAATTTCTAATATCAGTCATCAGACCAAGAAAAAGTCCTGGGTCTGATAGCAAGAAGGGTCTTATGTCAAGAATTCGGCCTGTTTCCTGTGGTGCCCGGTACTTAGCTGATGGGTAATAGCGCTTTTCCAGAATGTGTTAAGAGGTGCAGAGGTGCTCATGGGATGGCACAGAGGCAAGTGAGAATTTGTTCAAGGGCTTACATCCTCTGAGCTGTTCTCATTTTTGAGTGTCAACGGGACCTGCCCACTGTGGTCACTAAACTCCTGTGACAGGGCTGTCCCCGCATGTCAGACTGTCCTGTAAGAGCTGTTTCTGCTCTTGTGCAGACAGGGTGAGCGTGGGGAGTGGCAGCAGCCTTGAGCATCCTCAAGCAGAAAAGTTGGAAGACTGCAGGGAGGGAGGGCCGGGGCTGCTGGCAGAGGTGTACCTACATACCCGAGGATCCTTTCTGTCTTGGCCAGCCTGTTCTCATTGAATCTGGGGACCTGCTTGTGGGCCTCACCCCAGAGCGTCTGACTCCTGAGGCCTGGGGTGGGGCCCAGGTCTGCCTTTTTTTTGAGTCAGGGTCTCACTCTGTTGCCCAGGCTGGAGTGCAGTGGCATGATCACTGCTCACTGCAGCCTTGATCTCCTGGGCTCAGGCAATCCTTCCGTCTCAGCTTCCCCAGTAGCTGGGAATACTGGCGTGCACTGCACACCTGGCTAATTTTTTACATCTGTAGAGACAAGGTCTTGCTATGTTGTCCAGGCTCGTCTCGCATTCCTTGGGCTCAAGCGATCCTGTCGCCTCAGCCTCCCAAAGTGGTGGGATAATATGCTTGAGCCACCGTACCTGGCCACCAAGTGTGCCTTGCTAACAAGTTTCCAGTTGCTGCCCCCCAGTCCCTGCGCCCACCCAGTTCTAGGGCCTCCCCTTCCTGTGTTGCTGGGGAACAGGTACTAAGGGTCCTGCCTTCTCCTCGCGAGACACTCCTGTGCCTGCTCCCGAGTCGGTTTCTTTGGGCTGCATTTCCAGGACGGTGCGGAAGAGCTTCTCCGAGGTGATCGTCAAAAAGCCAATCTCTGCGTTGGGGTGCAGGCCGTACAGATAGGGTGTCTCGGGGGGCAAGTTCTCATCGATGTATTCATGGTAACCCTGAAAAGAGGGCGGCTCGTGAGCAGGCTGCCAAGGCAGAGCTGTGCAGGCCGAAACCTGCGTTCTCTATTCTTGAAGCTTTTTTTTTTTTGAGTAGCAGTCTCACTCTGTTACCCAGGCTGGAGTGCAGTGGCATGCTCACAGCCACCGCAGCCTCGACTTGCTGAGCTCAGGCAATCCTTCCACCTCAGCCTTCCAAGTAGCTGGAACTACAGGCGCCTGCTACCATAACTGGCTTAGTTTTTGGTTTACTGTAGAGATGCGGTCTCACTAAATTGCTCAGGCTGGTCTTGAACCCTGGGCTCAGGCAATCCGCTCGCCTCGGCCTCCCAAAGTGTTGGGATTACAGGCGTGAGCCACCGCGCCCGGCTGAAGCATTTCTTGCCAGAATGTTCCAACCACGGTTCACCTGTGCGGTCCCACTTGTTGGAGCTCCCCAGCTCCAGAAAGGAAGTTTCCACTTCCCCTTCCCGGAGGCTGCACTGCTCACCCTCCCTGGGTTGAGTTGCCTGGGTTCCCGCTTAATTATTAACCCTCCGTTTGGGAGGCGAGGCTCTCTCTGGGGAGCCGCCAGGAGACGCTGACCTGTGTTGCTGTTGTGTCACTGTGTGATGGCGCCTGCCCCTTGTCATCCTCACCTTGTAGTCCAGGTTGGGGG